CCGAGGATTTCAACAAGGGAAGAGGAAGAGAGAGTGGGCGAGGGATAGAAAAGGGAGTGAGGCTTCCAGGAACTTTCTCGGAGGGGATCACCACTGGCCGTGAGCCAAGCTCGGGTCCTGGAATAACGCGCGGGGACCAAATTGGGAGTCGTGGACAGAAAAGAGAGCGCAGCGCCTTCTGAAAACACGAGACTTCTTTCTCACTTGCTGCAAATGGTGAGTCATATCTGCATTAGCAAAAATGAGGGTGTATGGAGTGCCGTGCCGTGGCAACTCTTCTCTTTCCATTGTCTATCCTGGCGCTTCGGTCACTACCTTCTCCAGCTGCTCATCTACACCACCACCTCCTCCTCTTCGTCCTCCTCCAACGTCACCTCATCACCTTCCACGTCTGCGGCGTCCACGTGGCATCACCTCGGCTCTACGCGCACCCTGTTCACCACGTGCCCTACTTCCGCCTAATAATCACGAATCCCACCTGTTTGTTGTCGCCCATGCCTATTGTGTTTTCGCTCCTGTTCGTGCGTCGATGTATAGCCGCTGTGTGTGTGTGTGTGTGTGTGTGTGTGTGTGTGTGTGTGTGTGTGTGTGTGTGTGTGTGTGTGTTCATGGGTTAGTGTGACTAATGTTGTGTGGATGTGTTTGAAGATGATGGGCTATGGTTGTGATGACGTCTTCGTTATTGGAAGGAAGGATTGGGAGAAGATGGTGGTGGAGGGAGGGAGGGGAGGGGGGCTGGAGGTGGAGTTGGGAAGCCGGAGGGACGGACGGGGAATGGGTGGGCGCCCTCATCGTCGTGGTGTAAGTAGTGAGTGGGTTGGAGATGCGCTGCGTTTTCGTTGTTGTTGTGCTCATTCATTATCCCGAGCGCCAATGGATGTCGAATCCGCGCCGGGGCTGATGTGCAGTGGTGGGTGTGCCAACAGTGTGTTCATCGTGGCAGACTGTCAGGCAAACTACCCGCTCACTCTGCCCGCAGAACAGCTCTGCGGCCATGGGCGGGGGGCGGGCGCACCACTGGGGGAAAACGGCGGAGGAAGTTGATGATAGGATGCCATAGTGCTCGCGCGAAAGAAGAGGAAAGAGAAAGTGGATGATTGCGTTACCCCCCGATCACCACGGGGGGAAAACCGGCGGAGAAAGTAGATGATAGGTGTGAATAGTAACGTGAGCAGGAGGGAAGACCGACCACAGCGTGGCAGGCAGAACGGCTATGGAAGGGCACTTGCGCCTGGGCGGGGGTCGTCTGATTGGTAAATTGATAGATTGGTTGATGTGCGCGATTAACTAGGTTAGGGAGTAGTATTTGCTGATGGCGTAAAAGAGGAGAAAGGGTACGCGAATGCTCGTGCGCTTTTCGATAGAGAGACATCATAGGCTTGAACTGCTGTCGTACGACGGGAGGGAGACGTGGCCGGAGCAGTGAAAGAACAGGAAGGAAAGAGAATTCAAGGCCGTTGTGAGCTGTTGTGAGAGCACCCACTTCGACGAAGATGAGATGACGTAATTGCGGCAAAGAATAACTGGGGAGGGGTGATTTCTGCTTCTTACAGAACGCTGTATCAGCCGTCAAAATGGGCGATGATCAATGTTGCCGAGCAGCTGAGTGGGGGTGTGTATTATCATTATTGTTATTATTATGTTATTGAATTGAATTAGTATATTAGTTAATCTTCCATCGGTCAACCATAGCAGCCGGCAGCAGGTGGGGGCTTCCTACCTTGCAGTGGGGTGGGGGTGGGGGGGGCGTTTGACTCTGCGCCTGAGGACAAGGAAGGAGGAAATAACTTGTCAGTTTTATCTTCCCGCTGCTCTTTTTCTCATCTCAGTCCTCTTCTGTCTTTTTTATCCCTTTTTCTGCTCTCTTTACTCTTCGTCTCTTTTCTCCTCTCCTCACGTTTCTCTCTCGTCTTGTCTCCGCTTGTGTGTCCTTTCTGTCGATGTTCCCCCAATTTTCAGCTTTCGAGCGGTGGAGGTAGTTTCTTGTTCCTATTCTGTGTAAGCCACAGACCGCCTTTTGGTCGGTGGATGGGACAGAGTGTTTGCTTCTGTGGAACTAAGGAGATTGCACATATTTGCCTATATATATCGTATATGATGATGATGTATATATGTGTAAAAAACATATATATCTATGGTTTACCGGGCAGTTCTGTTTGACGATATATATACATGTATATATTAAATATATTTGTGACATTATATACATGTATATATAAAATATATATTTATTAAATATATTATGACAATATATACTTGTATATCTTAAATATATTATGCCTGCGCACACGGGTTGGCAGTTAATCACGTCAGCTGGGCGTTTCGTCTCATCACTAAATGGCCTCTGACCGGCTGGCGCTCAGGTTTGCAGGAGGAACGGGGGGGGGGAGAAGTGGTCGATGGGAGGGGCGCAAGGGGAGGAGGAGCACAAGTAGAGAAGGCGAAAGTCTGAATTTCCGATTTTTTATTCTTCTTTGTTTGATTTTTTTAAGTTCCCCCGGAACCTGCAGCCTCCGTGGCAACTGCTCTTCCCGCGCGGAAATCCTCTCCTATCTATTGTAGGATGCCCTCCCACTCTCTCTGTGTGTGTGTGTGTGTGTGTGTGTGTGTGTGTGTGTGGTGAGAAAGATTGAGAACAGATCACGACCGCCTAAACGACA